ACCCAGCCCTAACTGGAATGGACCTGCCTGTCCTTCTAACAAGGGCATAAACTTTCATTAGCGATGCACACAGTCAAAGGCAATTTAGGGAAACGCGCTGTACAGAAAAGGAAAACCTCAGCGTTTTTACTCGGTGGCTCCTTGGCTCCGTCCAGGGGGCTCTATCCTTGAGCTCTGCCTGTGCTCTCCAAGCAAAGTGACCCCAGTGGGCACGGGGGAGGCAGGAGGGAGCCAGAGGAGGCTGGGGCTGCTCTGGGGCTGCTCTGGGGCTGCTCTGGGGCTTTGTGTGCCCGGCCGTGCCCGGGGCTGGGCCATGAGAGCCAGGCAATATTCACGGCTTGCGGCAACACACTGGTCCTGCAAGAGGCTCAGAGGTATCTGCTGCTCTGCCCACTGCAGAGCTTCACCCTCCAGGGGGCTGCTCCTCGCCAAAGGTCTCTATTTCGGATCTCTGCACACTGACAAGGAGCTTGCAGCCGCCTGATGCCCCTTTGGGGCATTAGTTACAAGCTGGCTCTGCCCAGACCAGACAGATGTGTCGCTGCTGCTCCTGTTTCCACAGGATATACAGACTAGTTATTTTTGCAGCTGGGACATGTTTGGCCTCACACAGGAACCTGGAAAATACCATTCCTAAAGGGACGGCTCCTGCCACTGGCCCATGAGCAGGCACAGCTCTGCAGAGGACACGAGAGCACGGCTGGAGGGAGAACAGCCCAACACCAGGGGCTTGGTGGGGTCTGAAGGTCATGACCACGTGTTGGAAATGAAACAAAACTCTCTCTCCTGCTAGCATTCTCTTGGCCCTTTGGCTTTGAGGTTGACGTTTATGTACCCAAAGCCAGCTCTATGTTATACATGCCCAAGCGTGGGAATCCCTGTGCATGTCCCTATTATTTGCTCCAACACGAAGCCCTGACAGTGGTTTTCATACAAGAGCAGATTTCTTTACCTTTCTGTATGGCATACATCCAGAGATAATACAGACCTATGAATTTAATCCTACTGACAGCAAGTCTGCACATTGCTGGTACCTTTCACAGACCCCGGCACTGTCCCAGCCCTGTGCAGCCCCAGTGCAGGCTCAGCCCCTGCAGCTCTGGCTGGCACAGAGCTAGCCAAACACCTGCCCCATCTGCCGTGTTTGTGGGTATTTGAATTAAAGCAGAGGGTAAAAAAAAAAAAAAATCCAGGGGCAGCCAATGCTCAGCTGGAAAAACACAAAGTGCCGAGAACAGCAAACCCAATCAATAACAATCACAACCCCAGCAGTGGGTGAGGAAAGCATGAACTGTTTTGGCCTGCTCCCTGCATGCTCACCCACTTGGGAAAACACACACTCCCCAGAGGCCCATGATTTCATCCCCTCCCACTCCACCCTACACTCAACCCTCACCAAAGAGCTTTATGGAGTACAAGTCCCCCAGGCTCCTGTCCTGCACAGAAACTTAGCAAAGAGCAGAGAGGAACAGAGGAACTGCATCCCCGGGAATGAGCTGGAACCTGAGGAAGGCTCCTTCTCCCAGCAAAGTATTCCTTACACCCCACACCCTCCTCTCTTCCCCTCCCCTCTGAAGTTTTGTCCTCTGTGCCTCCCTTCCCATCCCACTTGCTGGCCTTAGCCTTAGGGTGCTCTTCTTCTCCCATCTTCTTTCCTCAAGTTCCCAGCACCATTCCACCTTTCTCCTTCCCAGCATCTCCTGCCAAAGCTCTTGTGCCCCAGTCTGCACCCCCATACCCTCTTCACACCCTCCCTACCCTCAGCCAGGTCTGGCAGAAAAAACTGGGCTCCCCAGAGGACCAGCCTGGGGGTGGGGGAACATGGAATTCTGTGAGGGAAAACATGGGAGCTGTCCCTTCTCCTGGTGTCATGTCACTCTCCACTCACACTGTACAGATTTGGGGGATTTCACTGTAGCAACAGAGGTCAGCAGGAGTTGAAGGTTTTCAGATCATATATATCACTCTATATGGTCTTGTCTATAGTGAGTGCTAAATTTAGCCAAGCCAAACCTGGAGGTGACTTCAGTGCTGTGGTGTGGGGACAGCAGCCACTGCACAGTCACTCTCCACCTCAAAGCAATGCAGATGCCAGAAGTCACAGTCCAAAATCAAGGATTCCTGTGAATCCTCTGTTCTCCCACCGCCAAGAGTGTGAGCCAGGCTCTCTCCCTCTCTCAGCTCTCCATGATTCCTCATTTTGAGGAGTCAAAACAAAACATCATCCTCTTGCTTCAAGGCCCATTTTTTCCATGAGATGTTGGACCCTCCTATGTATGACATGCCAGCATCTGTGTCAACACAGCTACTTAAAAACTTAACCAGTGGAAGAAGCTCTGAATAGAAGGGGAAAGTCTCTTGTGTGGGTCAGAATAATTAGACTGAGCTCAAATTGGCTTTAGGCATCTGCTGCTGTGTCTGAGCAAAATCAAGCCATGCTGCTTCCATCAGCATCTCTCTGCTGTTGGCCTCATCCTGCAGAACTGAAGGGATCACATACTGCCTTGCATAGGGCATCTCTGGGAACAAGCCCTGCCTCTACTGCAGCCATAAAGCCTCCTTATCCAGATATCATTAAAGCCAAGAGAAAAGAGGCCAGACAGAGAGATTGAGATGAGCCATTTCCCCAACAAACTTGCTTCCCTTTTTCATTCGCTCCTTTCTTTTTTTTCCCCCTTTAACTGTCATTAAAATAACAAGTTTCTGTTACAGTCTAAACATTCCCACATTGTATAAAGGGTTATGTTACACTAGAGTCACCGCCGGGCCCAGTGTTTGCACAGAAACCTCACTGCAGGTCCCCCCTCCTGACGAAGTGACTTATTAAAGTTTAAACAGTAATTAACAGAACAATAAAAATAAAGGGATGTTTGGGGAGTCGTAGTGCACACAGGGTTTTTGGCAGTGCCAGCACTTTTCAGTGCCCTGTGCTGGCAGAAAAAACGGCTGCAAAGCCAGTGGGAGAGATGGTGTGCTGGAAGGCAGCAAGGCCAAGAGATCCCAGCCCCAGCACGAGGGGGTAGAGAGCTGCAGGATGCAAGGAAAGGGTTTTGGGGGCTGGGGAAAGGATGCCAAAGGGTCACCTGGCAGGAGGCTGCTCAGATTCAGTGGTCACCACCAGCCCTGCCCTCTGTGTGCACATCAGACAGCATCCAGAACCTCCCCTGCCTGTCCTCCTGTTCTGCTGGCATGGCCTGGACAAGCCCCCAAAATCTGCCTTTGGGGAATCATGTCTCAGAAGCCAGAGCTGGGTTTTGGGGAAGTGGCTCCTTTATTTTAAGAGTAGTAGAGAGGAAAGAACAACCCCAGAGCAAACCCCTGAGAAAAATCTTGCAATAGAGAGACCTTCTACAGGAGACTCCAGGAGCAAGCCCCTTGCCTGGGAACTTTAAAAACAGACAGAAGACATCTTGTAGGGACTGATCCTGCCCTGGCCCTGTGCAGGTGTGAGCTGCAGATCCAACAGCATGGTGTAAGTTCTGGGGTCATTCCCTCCTGACATGCAGCCAGAACCAGGATCACAGGGTCAATCCCTAGAGCCTTGACAGAGCCAGAAGTTTCCCATGTGAAGGTGGCTAATCAGAGTTCCCTTTACAGGAGAAAACCTGTTTTCCCCCGTTTTGTTCTCATTCTCAGTAGCTTGGCTTGCCCAGGATGAGCTCTAGAGCATGTGGGTAGAGTTTAAGCTTAGGCTGTCAGCCCTCCCTGTTACCCAACGTGCAGCAACTCAGAAAGATCTCATCTGAAGATATTTTTGGTGCCTATTGTAGCTATTCTCAAATGTTTGCCTCAGTAGCTCACAGTGCTAGCTGGCTCCAGCCCTGATGTGTGACTCAGTACACACAGCATTGTGCAGTCCCATGTTTGCTAAATCTCTTCCAGTACAACTGCTCAGTTTGCAAATAAAAAGACAGCTCCGTGAGGGTGTATGTTCTGTGCAGAGGGAACTCAGGCAGTGCTGCCTTGAGCCTCTCCAAATCTAGGACTTGGCTCCTGGTCTGTCTGGGGAGCAGCGTGGATCTGACCTGACCTGGGGACTGTCCTACTGCCTACATGGAGACATCCATCACCTTCCCTGCCCAGGATGTGTCCACAGAAGCCTTCCTGAGTCCCACTGCCAGGAAGGCAAATGGGACGTGGCAGATACCTTCTCATCCACAGCCTTGTTTGGCCAGCAACACCGTGTCCTCTTATCCCCAAAATTCTATTGCAACATTTTTTTTTTTCTCTGTGGCTTTTCTACCTCCCTGGGAAATTAGGTGCCACTAGCTTGTTCAGACTTGCTCTAGAGACAGTTTCCAAAGTAAGCTCCTGAATCCACTGCAAGTCAGGCAGGGCAACTTGTGCCTGAAACCCCTGATCAGCTGAGCTGCTGGCTCTGTTTTTTCCTTCTTTTTGCTGCCCCAAGCCAGCAGCACAGGAGCAGCAGCCAGGATTCAGCACTGGAGCAGGATGTTGTGTGAGGGTCAGCAGTTCACAGGAAAGGCAGGTACAGGTGTCTGTATTCCTGACTCACTCCTGAGGTCTCTGCACATTCCCATTCCCTGAACCGATGTTAGCTGAGCTGCCAGTCCCTTCCTGGAGGACTCTCCTCCCACCAGCTGAGGATGGGCAGCTCATTCCAGACACAGCCCAGCGCCTCAGCTCTTCCCGACCTGCTGGGCTTGATCCCTCTCTGACTGATCTTATGCTCATGTCACTCTGCTTGGCTCAGAGGAGAATCATTTCCCAGCTGACACCGCCTCAGTGACAGGAGGGAGCTTATGCCTTTCCACTGCCACTCACGCTAAACTGACAGAAAAAGAAACACCACCCAAATCTGAACTTTTCATCCCATTCACCCAGCTTTGGGATGTTTCTCAGCTCCTGGCTGTGCTGGAGTCAGGGTCTCCAGACTCATTTGCAGTGAGAGTGGCAGTGCTTGGAGAGGAGAGAGGTGTTGAACAAGTACAAGCAGGTGCAAATAGAACAACAGAAGGTGCCCCCAGGTCAGCACTCACATGCATTTTCCTCGGCCATGTCTGAGGAGACTTGGAGTCAGAACAGAGCACAGCTTTGCATGGGGGTCTCAAATATGTTCACAATGCAGAAAGACTGTCCTGTGCACTTCCTTTTCCAACACGTCGTTCAGGATGTCTCTACAGCAATGCCAGTAACTGCCTGTAGGGAATGTTATGTTAGAAGATTATCTAATGCACTCTTAATCATCTGGTCTTGCAATCTACAGTGGGAAATCAGAGCAGCCAGCATGGTATGACCCTTCCTCCAGACACCAGAGTTCAGATACCATTATCAGTGGTAGCCTGGTCCATGTCCCAGAATTTAAGCTCTTCTTTGGTTAACAAGCCATGAAATTATTTAGACTATTCTTCATGTTACATTCTGTTATATTTGTAATTAACACAGAAGATCAGCACTGCCACATTCCGTATTTTGCTGAATACAGGAGAGATAGTACTCAGAAACACTTAAGTCTTAACCTAACTCTGTCCTGTTAGGTTTAGGGGAAGCCAACTCTTCAGAGCAGACCTGTCCCACAAGGGAAGAGCTGGGTATTGTCAGAGACCTCATCCCACATATGTCTGGAATATGATACGGGAAGCAGCTCCCTAAAATCTAGCCTTACCTCCTTTTTTTCGGAAGGGACTTTTAAACAAAAGCAAACAGTCTGCCAGCACACTGAGTGTTCAGCGCCATCTTCAATCAAGGAAGCCTAATTATACCCATTATACTGATGAGGAAGCACTGGCACAAAGCTATGCATTCACATGGCTACAGACACAAAGCAAATCAGTGGCAAAGCTGGAATTAAACCCAAGAATCATGGTGATGAGCTCATCACCCACCTCAGCACAGCCCCATGCAGCTGGCCATGACCAGTCCTACCCATGTCCTGCAGGTTACAGAGCTGCTGTGGAGCCCTCCACACACCTGCTTAACAACTAGAACTTTCAATCCCCATGCTGAGATGGTTTGGGGTGCTCTGGGACGTTCAGGGACTGGTCACATCAGCTGGCCCACAAGGACCAGTCAACTCAGCTCCCTGTATGAGAGACAGTCTGGTGGGCTGCAGACACCCAACAGCCAGAACATCAGGTCTGAGCTATGAAGAGACCCTGTGAGCACAGAGACCAGGCAGGGATGAATCATCTGTTCCTTCTGAAGCAGCTTAATCAACTCCCCTGCATGTGGATCCTCACAGCAGGTCCAGCCTGAGCCCTCTACATATTAATGATTCCCTCGGATATAAAGCCCAGAGATTTTCCTTGGCACCAGGGTCCAGCACTTGCCCTGCACTCTCCCTGCCAGGTGCTGGGTGCTCTGGTCTAAGAAAGGCTGCAGAATCCCTCGGGACTGAGAGTCATTACATAAACAATACAGTAGGATCATGGGCTGTAATTGTAAAAGTGCCAGAGGTCTTGGCACCGGAGTCTGCTTCAGCAAAGGCCTCTATATGGAGACCCAAACAAAACAAACAAAAGCCCAAACTCTCTTGGCGCTTAATGAATAATAATAAATAGTAAATAATAACCCTAAGAGCCAATCTAGCAAGACAGATGTGAGGCACCAGGGCAGCTCTGAGGAAACACTGGGCCTATAGCAGCTGCCCTCCTTCCCCAGTCTCCAGTATGCTGAGCTCAGGTCACCAGGTTCTTGCAGGGTTAGGTCCAGGGGGAAGCCTGGGGTTTCTGTCAGGGATGTGCACACCCCCACCCACCCAGTCAGATGGGCAGGAATCGCAGCCCTTGTATGTCCTGGACTGGGATGTTCATCTGCTAAGTGAGCACACACCAACTCTTGCCCAGCTCCTTCTTGCTGCAGATCTCTCTTTAAGAGCTAAAGGCAAAAAGAAGCAGATGGAGCTGAGCAGGGGAATCCAGGTAGGTGTGAGTCCGGAGAAGCCTCTCCCCAGCATCATTAGAGTCTGGACTCAGAGTCCCCCACCTGTTCTGTGCAAGCTGAGCTCCCGGCAGGACACCAGGATAGCTGCTTGGCAGGGACATGGGCTGAAACAAAGGGCCTAATTTAAGTATTTTTATAACTCGGTGCTTGTGACAGTGGGTTTAGCAGTTGCCAGCCATCTGGAATAAAGAATTACAGCCACCTCCCCTAATCCTATATTGCCTAAACCCTAAAGCTGGTTATGGCGCAAGGATGAGGCAGCAGGTTGGGAGGAGATAGTGATGGGAAGGTGGGGGTGGAGAAGGGACTGCAGGAAAATTGTCAAACTTATTTCTTTTTCCTGCAAGGTGCTGGGTGGCCCCAGATATGTCAGAATTATTTTTGCTAAGAATCCAGAGAAGACAGAATGAACAAAAACAGAGGCGAGGGGAGACAAGGAGTCCTCCATGACCACACAGTCGCATGCACCACACACACACACGCACACAGAGGCTTACTGGTCTGCGCAGGGCTGTCAGGTAAATTAGATCTGAAAGCTGACAATTTCTGACCATATTTCCTTGATTATTTCAAACAAATGCACACCAGCCGCTGTAAGGAGATTAAAGTGACATAAACGTCCCGAGTGGGAGGAGGGAGGGCAGAGAATTCAGGTCACCCCCATCCGTCCCCCATTTGACAGCCGCTATATCGCTATCCAATCCAATAAAAAAATCCCCCCCTTTTGCTTTAATTAATTTTACAGCTAGCTTGCTTAATTACTTTCAATCAAAATCCTCCTGCCATCGCAAAATTAGAGATGGTTGAGCTCCATTAGCCTAAATTCTTCATTTCCATATAGAAAGAGGCTCCCTCGGCAAAGCCAACAGGGCTCCCTCCTATTCTAGCTGCCATCGGACAGATGCCTGTCCCTCTGTCTGTCTCCAGTTCCTCGGCAGAAGGAAGGCGGGAAGGACAGAGTCTTGTTCCCACCTCGCCCTTACACAGAGTGTCTCCTTGGGAGCCCTGGACACGGGAGGCCTCTGTGCTCACAGCAGAGACCACAAGAGGTGAGGACAGCCTGTCCCCCTGGCCCCTCTGTGGCTGTGCTGGAACCAGCTTTTCCACGGCTGCACGAGGGAGCTGCACGGCCCAGAGCCCCTGCTGTGCTCCCAGCACTGGGGACAGGACCTGGAAGGGACACTGCTCCCACTGCAGCTGGTTTGAGCACTGCCACTGTCACACCTGTGCAGGTGTCACTGACTCGATGTGATCTCGGACACACGGAAAGCACTTTGAGGGGACACAGGGGCAGATATCTTACATTTGCCTGCTCTGGGTTTGGTAGCTTCCTTTGGAGCATCTGGCACAGACCTGTGACATTCCTGCAGCTGCCATAGGCATCAGCAGCACCTCTCTCCTGTGAACAAATCCTGAGCTGTCCCATTTTGGGGACAATGGAACCTGCTCCGAAGCACAGGCAGTGGCAGCAATAAGCCACATGGCACTGTAGAGAAGACAAGAGGAGACTGGGTGGAGAGGATGGAAGCAGGAGGAAACCCTGGAAGGAGCTGGACACTCTGGGAGTAGTCCTCTCAAAGGACTATAGGAACTAGAATTATCCAGACCATTCCATGCTTTCCCCCCATCTCCTGTGGTCTTCTCCTTTTCCACATACCCAAACTAATTGCAGAGCAATGGTTCTGCTGGAACTCTACCTGCACTCAGTACTGTGTGCAGGTACTGAGCCCTGGGGACCAGCCAGTGGAGCCCAGCCCCTGCTGCCTCTCCCAGCCCCTGCCCAGGGCACACGTACATCTCACCTGGAGCTGCAGGAAGGTCTCCCCAGCACTCCAGTCTCCACACTTTCCCCTCTTCAGAAAGCTCACAGGGATTCATGGGCACCAGAGGCTCAACTCCCCCCCAGCTCCAGGGAGTTCAGGTCAAATCCTTCTTCTTTAGAACAAAATGAAGAAGAGACACACACAGACCTATTTTGTTTATAAGCTTAAAACTGAATCCAATGGCGCATCTACCTGGGGATTTTAGATTAAATGGTTTAAGAAACTCAAATAGGCTTTTTAATCCGGTCAAATAAAAAGAGCCCCAAAGAAGCAAAGAATTCACCCTGCTGAGCCTCACACCTATGCAGACAGCCAGGCTTGAATGGCTTTCTTGCTCTCTGCCACTCCTCCCCACCCTGGCATGGGACAAAATGTATTTGCCAAAATCTGGAAGTTTAGGGTACACCCTGTTCAGGACTTGTGAAGACTTCATTTTTCCATGGACGACTCACTTATATCACACTGTGTAACACCTTCTTCAGCCTTTCTGTGTCCTTCTATGCTTATGCTGTTCAGCTGGGCCCTTCCCCTAACACCTGGTAATGCGAGTGCAGTGCCAGCCTGGTTACATCACCAGTGCCAGCCAAAAGGAATCCAAGAGATGACACCAAAACCCCGAATCCCCATTCAACACACACACATAGACACAGTTTTTCATATGAACTACATTCCTGAATGCTTCACAAGGGAAGGCAAGGAGCCACGTGCTCTTGAGATGCAGTGGGGACCAGCAGGGTCTGCCAAGGGCTGCAGTAGCCGGACAGTCAGCCCAGGTCTGATGGGTGGAGACCAACCCTACACACACTTGGGGACTGTGATGAACATCTGGAGCTGAATCCTGACAGAAACCACGATGCAAAGGGGCTCTGTTCTCTACTGGATAACCACCTCTCCACGACTTCCAGGCTCCAGTATCACATCTCACCAACTTTCCAACAGAAAGGGTCCCTTCTCCCCCAGTGCTGCTGTTTCACTCCGGAAATGCTCAGAACCAGCCTTCCCCTGAACATGCTCTGCAATAAAATTCCCGACTTGTGTCTCGCCTGCTCCAATGCTCAGAGCAGCCAGGACAATAGAACAGAGAGGCCCTAAATCCACCAGACTCACCCTAAATAGCAATGGCCCATAATTTTGCCTGACATTCAGGAGCTTGTTATTCTTTCCCCTCGTCGCCTGGCTGGAGCTGTTCAGACCCATCAGTGTTATTCTATGCATTAAATGTGAAAAAAACCAACTCAACAACAACCCGGAGAGTTTCCAAGCCTGCCCAATGAGGGGCTGAAGGGGCAGTGTCCATAGCTGAGCCTGCAGTGGGAGAACAGGAGCAATCAGTGCCTCAAACCCAGACCCATCCACTCTGCAGGGGAACAGCACGAGTGGGTCTGCAGAGACCCCCCAGCAGAAACAAACACCCTCCTCTCTGCTTCCATCCCT